CCCGCTCGCTGCTGCCCTGCGGCCTGCCCGCACTGCCCGTGGCGGGCAGGTCTACGCCGCCCCGCTTTGGGGGAGCACGTGCGCGGCCGCTCCGCTCGCACTCGTGGCCCGCTCGGCCCCTGCGAGCCGCCTGGACGTCCCCTCACCCCTGTCCGCTATTGCTTTTGAGCCGGCAGCGCAGAGGATCCTCTGGCGCGAACAGCAGGTGGAAGTGCGAAAAGCGATCGGCCTCTCTGTCGAACTCACAAGGCGCAGAACCCCTATATCCGCTATCACCTGCGGGGTAACAGATAAAAGAAGGGTAGTGTTCGCTGCGCGACGGGGTGCTGGCTCCCGAACGCAGCGTCGTGCACCAGGCAGGCGCGCCTCCAGAACCGCACGGGTGGGCCACCACCTCACGAACGTGAGCGGACGGATGCCCCGCCACGGCGGATCCCGCGCACGCCCCGTCACCGGGAGGGACGGAGGAGGACGTCCTCCACTGCTTCACCTCCCCCTCCTCTAACCTCCCTCTTCTCCTTCACTGCCTCCTCCCCCACCTCGTTCTCCCGCCTCTCTCCTCCTTCTTCCTCCTCTTCTTCCTCCTTTCTGCCCCTCCCTCCCTCCCTTCCTTCCGGCTTCGCTCCCCCCCTCGCCACAGCCAGAGGCAACCGTCTCGAAGCGCGCCCCTGGGATCCTTCCTGGAAGCCGTCCCGACCAGCTTCCCTGGGCCCCCGCCGCCGCGTTTAGCCGCGGCGACGAGGGCCGCATCGCGGATGCATGGGCGATGTGGCGGCATCCTCAGACCCCATCTCCTCGGGAGGCCTAGACTCTAGACCTAGGTTCGTGAATTGGGACTACAAGCGGTCCACGACCACTTCGGGCCAAAAAACCCAAACCAAAAAAACACCAGGAAATATTGAAACCAAAACCTGGGGAGGTCGACGTCCTGAAAATTAGCCCGGCGAACGCGAGTACCGCGCGGATGCGAGACGAAGGAGGGGGCACGCAAACTAGGCCCCTCTTCTCATGGGCACCGCGCCGCTGCATGGACGAGGCACAGGGCAGCGCGGGCAGGAGGTGGCGGGCGGAGGAGGGGAGCTCACTGGGGCGAGCCAACGCATCAGTATCATCATCGCATCATGAGACCTGTTACTGGGCACGCAGGAAGAGGTGACGGAGACACCGTGTAGATGTCGATGGCAGGTCAGCAGCGGCAGAAACGAAACGGGGAAGCGCGCGGTCAAGAAGCGACGGGAAGCAGGAGGAGCGAGAGACGAGGGGAGACGTTTTTGCCTCCAGACCGACAGCGAGCCGCGCAGAACGCAGCGCGCAGGCGGCGCCGCGCGAAAGTGCCTGGGAAGTCCTCGCCGACGCGGTCTGGTCATCCCGAGGGAATCCCATCGACGCGCGGGGGTTGTCCACTGCGACTCTGAGTCAACGGATAGCGCCCCCGTGCTGCGTGGCGAGGCGTGCGAAAAGGGCGCGATCCGGGTGAAATCCCCCGACAGGCGCCGGTCATCCTCTGGCGAGAAATCCCGACGACGAGCTGGGGTCATCCAAGCGTCAGCGACAACCAGCGCGTGCCGCTGGCTCGTGCGGGGCCGCTCCCCAGGTCAGGCCTCGCGGATGAACTCGCTGAAGCCCAGCTCTCTGGCGAGGGCCGTCGCCTCCCTCCTGCGCCGCTTCGTGCGCGCAGCAAACTGCCCCAGCTGCTTCCGCAAGCCCTCCAGCGGCCCTGCCAGGAAGAACTCGATGAGCGGCGCCCGCATGAGCAGGAGATCCTCGTGGCGCGTGGCGCGCGAGAGCAGCGCGTGGAGCTCCAGCCACCAGTCGTCGTCCTCCTTCTTGCCGTTCCCGACCTCGTGGCGGCCGCAGTCCAGGATCACGCCTGGGCGGCGTCGGTCGAGGGAGCGGCGCGCAAGACAGCCGACGGCCCAGGGCGAGAGACCGCGGGACCGAGAAGGTCCGGCTGCGGACCGCTCGCGTTCGACGGGTTCGGCCGTAGACTGCCCGGTGGCGCCGTTCCCCCGCCCCGCCGCCTTCCCGCATGGTGCGCCCTTGACACGCCACCGTGGTGATGACCCTGCCGTGTGAAAACGGGAAGCCCGTCCGGGTGACCTTGGAGGTGCGGAAGGTGAACGGCTCCGACGTGCGGGGCTCGATGAACACCAGCGGGCCCGTGAGGTCCCCCGTGAGGCTGTCGTCGTGGCGGGCGGCATGCGAGGTCTGCCACTGGGGCCTTCGGTGGAGCTCCCTATGGGGCCACGAAACGTGTGAGGGTGTGCCGAAATGGGGTGGCGGCGGCATGCGAACGCAGCCATTTGGGCCTTCGGTGGAGCTCCCTGTGGGGCCACGCAACGTGTGAGGGGTGTGCCAAAATGGGGTGGCGGCGGCATGCGAACGCAGCCACTTGGGCCTTAGATGGAGCTCCCTATGGGGCCACGAAACGTGTGAGGGGTGTACCAAAATTCGGCGGCGGCGGCATGCAGACGCAGCCATTTGGGCCTTCGGTGGAGCTCCCCATGGGGCCACGAAACGTGTAAGGGGTGCGCCAAATATGGGGTGGCGGCGGCATGCGGACGCAGCGCTCATACAAGCCACCACGAGGAGCCCGAACGACTCACACCACGACGAGGGTCCCGAACGACTCACACCACGAGGAGCCCGAACGAGTCACACCAGGAGGAGGGGCCCGAACGACTCACACCAGGACGAGGGGCCCGAACAACTCACACCACGAGAAGCCCGAACGACTCACACCAGGACGAAGAGCCCGAACGACTCACACCACGAAGAGCCCGAACGACTCACACCAGGAAGAAGGGCCCGAACGACTCACACCAGGACGAGAAACCCCAAACGACTCAAACCACGAGGCGCGCTTTCTCTCCCTCCTCCTCCGCCTCGTCCTTCTCCCGCTCCCCCCACAAGGAGGATGTACAAGGAGGCGGGAGGAAGGAGTAACAGGGGAGATATGCGGGGCAGGCGGAAACACGCCTGAAAAACACGACTGTCGGCATGCTTCGCAAGAGTTGCTGTTGAGAGATGGGCTGGTGGGGATACGCGAAGCGTAAAGAATTCGGCGGCGGCGGCATGCGGACGCAGCCATTCGGGCCTTCGTTGGAGCTCCCCATGGGGCCACGAAGCGTGTAAGGGGTGTGCCAAATATGGGGTGGCGGCGGCATGCGGACGCAGCCATTTGGGCCTTAGATGGAGCTCCCTATGGGGCCACGAAACGTGCGAGGGGTGTGCCAAAATTGGGCGGCGGCGGCATGCGGACGCAGCCATTTGGGCCTTAGATGGAGCTCCCCATGGGGCCACGAAACGTGTAAGGGGTGTGCCAAAAATGGGGTGGCGGCGGCATGCGGACGCAGCCACTTGGGCCTTAGATGGAGCTCCCTATGGGGCCACGAAACGTGTGAGGGGTGTGTCAAAATTGGGTGGCGGCGGCATGCGGACGCAGCCATTTGGGCCTTAGATGGAGCTCCCTATGGGGCCACGAAACGTGTGAGGGGTGTGCCAAAATTGGGTGGCGGCGGCATACGGACGCAGCCATTTGGGCCTTCGGTGGAGCTCCCTATGGGGCCACGAAGCGTGTGAGGGGTGTGCCAAAATTGGGCGGCGGCGGCATGCGGACGCAGCCACTTGGGCCTTCGGTGGAGCTCCCTATGGGGCCACGAAACGTGTGAGGGGTGCGCCGATGATGATGATGATGATGATGATGATGATGATGATGATGATGATGATGATGATGATGATGGTGATGATGATGACCGACAACCACGATGTGGATGATGATGATGATGACGATACTCATGATGATGAGCATGATGAGGATGGTGATGATAATGGGAGGAGGTGGGAGGGGGCAGCGGGAGGGGAACGCGGGGCACCGTCTCTTCAAAACGAGGACCCAACACCACAGGATGGTTGGGAAAAACTCAAACACCGAACCTGCGAAAAACTCAAACCCAGGTTTTGAAGATTGCGGCAGGTTTTCCGATGGACCGCCTGTAGTCAATTCACGAACCTAACTCTGGACGAATGGGAACGGGGATAAGGATCGGTAAGGCGATTCAGCCGGCTCCAGCAGGATCCTGCCAGATGAAGAGGGATGAGCGCGGATTGCGCGTGATTGAGCTGGGCGGAGCGGGACTGGGCCAGTTTCCGACCTCAGTTGGGGGGGGGGCGCGAAAGGAGTCGAGCCCCGCCGGAGGCTCCCCCGTGAAGGGGGGGCGGGGCGCGCCGCGGCAGTGCGCCCCGGAAGAGCGCGGCCGGCGCCCACGGGGCCCGGAGGGCGTCGCGCCTCGCGAGTGCCGCAGCTGGCCGGATGCTGGCCCACGCGGCCTGGAAAACCGGAGGGGGAGCCCACGTTTTTTTTTTTTTTTTTTTTTTTTTTTTTTGTTTGCAATCTTTTTTTTTTGTTTTGCAATCCGTTTTTTTTTTTTTGGGGGGGGGGGGGGGGGGGGGGGGGGCAAAAAGCCCCGCGGGCCCCAGCCCTGTCAAGCTCCAACACGCGGGCCCGCGCGACCTCGACGCCCCGGCCCCCGGGCCCCGGGTCGCCGCACCCCCCGAGGCAGTGCCAGGGAGGCCCCCGGACCCCTCCAGAAGCCTCTCGCGGAGACCCTCAAGGGGTCCCCCACGAGCCAAGTGAAGCGCCCCCTGACGCCCCGAAGAGCATGGCTCCTCCATCTCCTCCTCGCCTTCCCGTCCTTCTCTTCCTCCTTCTGTCCTCCCCTCTGCTTCTTCCGTCTCCTCCTACTTCTTCTCCTCCTCCTCCTCATTCTCCTCCTCCTCCTCCTCCTCCTCCTCTGCTTACTTCCGTCCTCCTCCTCCTCTTCCTGCTTACCCCCGTCCTCCACCTCCTCCTCCTGCTGACTCCTCCCCTGCCGCTTCCTCCTCCCCTCCCTCCTCCTGCAACTCCTCCTCCCTCTGCACGTCCTCCTCCTCCTCCTCCTCCTCCTCCTCCTCCTCCTCCATTCCCATCCTCCATCCTCAACTCCACACGCCCTCCATCATCAAGCGTTGTCCGCACTGCGTGCGCGCGTGTCGCTGTCTCCGCGGCGCGCCTCGTCCATGTGCGGGAAGTCGGTCTTGATCGTCCTCCAGGTGACGCCGTCGTCGTCACTGATGGTGATGAGGTCCTCGCGCGAAGCTCTGGGAAGCGTTCAGTTCGACCCGCGCCTCTGGAGATCGAGATCTTCCTGCCGCTCCGCCCCTCCTCCTTCTCCTCCTCCTCCTGCTCACGCCCCATCCAGTGCTCCTCCTCCACTGCTCCTCTTCCTCCTCCTCCTCCTGCTCCTCGCACGTAGCTCGGATGAAGTGTGCGTTAGTCCATCTCTCTCTCTCTCTCTGCAAGTTGCACCGACTGCGCTCTGGCAGCACGGACATGAATTATAATCTCTGAATAATCGACTGCCTCCCCCAGTACCTTGACCGAATTATACATATAAAAACTAAGACCAATCTCTGCAATGCCATGGCTCTCCTCTCTGGGTCAACGAGCGAGCCAGGCCTAGTCGTGCGTCCAAGACTCCTTCGATTGGTACCTCAGGATGCCATGCGATAGATGCGGCAGCTCATAAAGCAGGACACGAGGGATAATGGGACTGGGAGTCGACAGCATCCGTGCACCCGAATTTGCAAGGCACATCGGTTTGAGTCATCCTCCTCTCCGTCGCCCACCCACCCACCACAGTCTTTAGAACCGATGCCTGCCATGCCGGTGGGAGCTCAGCCAACGCATCTTTCATCGCAGGCCAGTCGCATCCAGCCAAGGCACGCTTGGAAGGTGGACGTGTTGCCCACTTCTCCAGGCGTTTGAAGATCGTGGGAGCCAAGTTTTCCTGAAACAGCGACTTGGCCAGCGAACGAGCCAGCGTCTTTTGTACAGGGGCCCGAGGGTTCTCCGACTGCGCTTCCTTCAGAGCCTTGAGAGCAGTCGCCATCGGAGCCCGCAAGCGGGCTGAACCTGGAAAACCCGAGGCTGCCTCAGCAAGTTCTTGCGCAAATGGGACGCTTCTCCAGAAGCTCGGGCACCACGTGCCTCCTAGATACTGAGTCATGGGAAGAGCTCGCTGCGCCGTCGCCCGAATTTTGAAAGGCATGAACGATTCTTGCCCCGGTGCCGGTGCCGGTACCGGTGCCGGTGCCGGTGCCGGTGCCGGTGCCGGTGCCGGTGCCGGTGCCGGTGCCGGTGCCGGTGCCGGTGCCGGTGCCGGTGCCGGTGCCGCCGGTGCCGGTGCCGGTGCCGGTGCCGGTGCCGGTGCCGGCGCCGGTGCCGGTGCCGGTGCCGGTGCCGGTGCCGGTGCCGGTGCCGGTGCCTGTGCCGGTGCCGGTGCAGGTGCCGTGCGGTGCCGGTGCCGGTGCCGTGCCGGTGTCGGTGCCGGTGCCGGTGCCGGTGCCGGTGGCTGGTGCCGGTGCCGGTGGCTGGTGCCTGTGGCCGGTAGCCGGTGCTGGTGCCAGTATTGGTGCCGGGTGGCGAGTGGCCGGTGGCCGGTGGCCAGTGCCAGTCAGTGCCGGTGCCGGTGGCCGGTGCTTGTCCGAGTGCCCCAGGTGGCCAGTGGCCCGGCCCCAAGGTGCCGGTGCCGGTGCCAGTGCGCGGTGCTGGGTGTCGACACCAGCACCGCTGGCACCGGCACCGGCACTGGCCCCAAGACGGCCCACACAGAGAAGGATCCAAGACGACCCAAGGGGGCTCCAAGATGGCCAGGGAGGGACCCAAAAGGACACCAACTCGGCCCAAGGAGGTTCTCAGACGGCCCTGAAGGCCTCCAGAGAGCCTCAAGACGACCCAGAAAACCCACCAAGACGGACTCCGAAAACGCCAGACGGCCGCGCCAGGGGGCCCCAAGGAGCTTCCGAAGTTCCCCCCCGCGGGACGCTGCCAAGACGCCACGGAGTACACAAGGCCCGAGGTGTCACGCGTGACGGCCTCCCGTGCCCCCTCGCACACTCGCAATCAAGAATGCTAGGGTGACACGGCGGCGGGACTTGCCGCAAGCACCTCCTCCTCCTCCCCTTCCTCCTCCTCCTCCTCCTCCTCCTCCTCCTCCCCCTCCCCCTCCTCCTCCTCCTCCTCCTCCTCCTCCTCCTCCTCCTCCTCCTCCTCCAACTCATCGTCATCACCTTCCTCGTCGTCGTTTTCCTCCTCGAAATCTACGCGCCTATGAGCGGGCGAGTCGGGACAGGCGGGCGGACCCTAAAGGACGGTCGGGCGAATCGGGCGGGCTGACTTTAACGGGCGGATCGGGCGGGGCCCTAAAGTGGGGGGGGCATCATTGACTGGCGGGCGGGGCCCTAAAGTGGGCGGGGCCCTAAAGTGCGGGGGGCATCATCGACGGGCGGCGGGGGCCGTTCCCCAGGGGAAGGGCATTATTTAATCATAGAAGTGCCTGGGTGGACTAGTTCAAACATGATTTATGCGCGACATATGCCAAAGCACGCGTTGCAAAACGTGCGCAGCATGCACGTAATTCTGCAGATCTGAAGCTACATGCTACTCAGGTGTGGGCGAGCTGGGCAGATCCAGCCCTGGAGTCTCCAACTCCGCCTGATCTAGCGCGCTCGAACTCGAGCTCTAGTGCCCCCGCTTAAAATACGTATGAGCGGGCGCATGCGGGCAAAGCAAAATTGATCTTATAGAGGTTTTCCGACTCATCCTACTAAGCCTGATGAGGCTCGACGCTCCATCCCCCCTCTGCTTGGCCCCTCCGCCTGTCCCCAACCCCCCCGCCTAATGCAAGCCGCCAGGCGGCGTGCTCGGAGCTGGCGGGCGCAAGCCCTGCGAAGCGCCCATCGCGACCGGCTCCGCGGCGCCAGAAGCACTGGGCGTCAGGGGCAGCGCCGGCGTCACTCGCCCGGGCGCCGCGCGAAGGCGGGGGCTGCGCGGGGGGGCCGGCCGCGCGGCTCGGCGTCGCGTCAGCGAGCTGCGGGCGCCCCTCGTGGAACTGGGCGCGCTTCTGTGACAGCTGCCTCAGTGACACGCGGCAGCAGCGCATGAGCTCGTTGTGGAAGAGCGCCCCCCCAAGTTCTGAGTCGGGCCAGCCCTTGAGAAACACCTCGCCGTTCTGCTCCTGGCACTCCCCCAGGCGCGGGAACTGCTCGAAGGCCGCCTTAAGCACCGCCACCGCTTCGGGCTTGGACGGGCGCGCTCGCCTCTTCCGCTTTGCGGGGGCCTCTTGGTCCGACACGGCCACGCTGTAGAGGTCGACGCAGGCGTTCACGGAAATCTGGCTTTTCCCGGTCAGGAGCGCACGACGGATGAGCTCTCTGTCCTTGAAAGCTGCCTTCGTGAAAACCATGGCCCCCCCTTCGCCAAGGCCCTGATTGTCGAATTGCGCCTCGCCCGCCAAGTCCGCGAACGTCAGCGCGCGCTCGCCCGAGCCCGGCGCCTCGCCTCCTGTCGGGGGGGCACCGGCCAGATCGCTCTCCGCGGCGCCCGGACTGGCGGGCTGCGAGACGTCGACATTGCCGCCGCCAGCCCGCGCGGCAGGGCGCGCAACGTCAGCCACCAGGCCGCCAGCGGGAACCGGGCCCTGGGGCGCCGCCGGGCAAGCTGGCACCTGCGTGGAGAGCGGCGCGGCGTACGCATGAGGGTGATAGTGACCCCGAACAGGGCGCGCCAAACGCCCTGGCTCGTTGTCGCCGTCGCTCTCGCCGTCGGCAGCGTCGCCTGCGGGCGCGCAATTCAAGGAGGGAGGGGGTCGACCTGGCCTAACAACTCCTCCTCCAACACCCGAATCCTAAGACCCCCACCCTAACCCCCATAACCCTGACACCCTGACCCGAACCCTAACACCCTCATCCTGACGCACGAACCCTGGCCCCACAACACCGAACCCCTCAAACCCTAACCCTGGCACAGTAACCCTATCACTAACCGTGCCACTAACGCGCTGACGCTAGCACCATACCATAACCCCAACACACTAACCCTAACACCTTAACCCTAAGACCCCCCCCCCCCCCGAAACTGAACCCTGACCCCGCCTAAACCCGAGCGCGCTAGCCCTAACCGTAACGCTCGAAACCTAACATCCTTAGCTTTTCACCATAACCCCACCACCTTCACCCCAACACCACAATCAAAACACCGTTACCCTAACACCCTGACGCGAACACCCTAACCGCACCCTAATGCGAACCCGAAAAAAGCCCGAGCACCGTATCCATGGTCCCAGTCATATCATTCAAGTTCTAACGCACCCTGGCCCAAACCTTAATACACCAACCGTGACGCCCTCACCCGAACCCTGACACTCGAACCCTAACTCCTTACCCCTTACACCCTAACCCGAACACCCTTGCTCTCGCCATAGCACCCTGGCCCCAACGCCCGAACCCTACCACACGTTTCCTCACACCCTGACTCTAACCGAACATCCACACCCCCTAAGTCGAACACCCTAACCCTCACACCCTCACCTGAACACAACACCCGAGGCCGAACATCCCAGTCCCAAACCTAGCACCCTGGCCATAACACCTTAGCCCAACCACGAACACCCTAGACCGAACCATAAGCCCGAAACCCAAACACCCTAACCCTTACACCCTCACACCCTCTCACTAACACCCTAACCCTGAATCCAAAGCCCCATGGACCTAACTCAGACACCGTAACGCACTAATCCTGACACCCTAACCCAAACACCCGAAACCCGCTCCTTTCACCCACACCCTCACCCCAACACACTGACCCAAGCCGGGGCCCGCGCACGACCATTCCGCATTCCCCAATCAGAGCTTGCCTCTGTAGGGGTCCTAGCGGATTCATATGGTTAGGTGAGGTGGGGCGCCGATTACGGTGGCAGGGGGCCGGGTGCCCGGGTGCCCCGATGCCCGGGTGCGTCGTCGCCGATTTCGGTGGCCAGGCCAGGGTGCCCGGGTGCCCAGGAACCTTATAGCCCCATAGCACAATCGCCATATAGTTCGATCGCCTTATATTCCTATAGTGCCCTATAGACCTATAGCCCTCTTGCCCTCTTGCCCTATTGCCCTATAGCTCTTTAACCCTATAGCCCTATAGCCCTTTAGCACTATAGCATTATAGTCCTGTAGCCCTATAGTGCCCTTTAGCCCAATGGCCCAAATAGCGCATATAACCTTGTATATATAGCCCTATAGCATAATAGCCCTATAGCCCAATAGCCCTATAGCACAATAGCCCTATAGCCCTATGGCCCCACAGCCCTATAGCACTCTAGCCCAAGAGCCCTATAGACCTCTAGCCCAGCAGCCCAATAGACCATATAGCCCATCTAGCCCCATACCCTCATAGCCCCATAGCCCCAAAACAATAGGATTGGGCTTTTCTCCGGTATATATGTTGATGCGGATGGGGCGTCGGCTCTGCCTTTGCAAAGAAGCCAGGTGCACCGTCTTCGTCCAGAGCAGCTCGCCATATGGTCCGGATGGCAATGCTGATGTCGAGCATGCGCCTGGCGCACTGGACGTGCTGGGTGGCGATGAGCGGCAACCCCGAGGCCGCGTCCAAGGTGCCCCCGCCTCCAGAGTAATCCAGCGCGGCAACGAGAGCAGCCTGAACGCCCTGCTGGCCCGCGGCGTTGGCCTCCAGCGCAGCCAAAGTAGGATCGTCGTCTCCTCGGGTGGCGAAAAACGTGCAACCCTAGATGCGTGCGCAACCTGGGGTGAAGGTTCCTGGGGGAACCTAGATGTGCAACCCCAGGTGAACCACCTGAAAAATTACACGTGCAATCAAGGGTGAAGGTTCCTTCCTACGTCGAAAAACAACGAACGAAAGATGCGCAACCACGCATGACGGTTGTCGAAAACCGAAATGAGCGCAACCCAGGGTGATGGTCTCGTGGCAAGGAGAAACCCGCACCCCAGGTTGCACTCGCAGCTGGGGTTGAACGTTTTTGGCTCTCTGATCTCCTCGCAACTGCGCGCGGATGCTCTGTGCCACTTGGTTGCCCGTCATGATATTGCGCGCCTCCTCCTCGAACGGCAAGATCGCCTGCGGCTTCTGGGCGAAAAGCTCTGCGACCCTCCTGGCCCCCGCTTGGATGTGGCCCGTGGGGTCCGGCAGGTCCCCCCTGTTAGAAATTCGGAACTCGGTCCGCAACTGCGCGTCGCCTACGTCGGACGGGGCAACCCGCAGGTATCGCAACCGGGACTCCTCGCCATCTGGGAACTCCACCTTGTATCCGCCAGCCGGGCCCACGAAACTGCGAGCCTGGGAATTTGCTGCCGACGCCTCGCCCGTCTCGGTGTCCCTCTCCAAATACTGGGCCGCGGCCTCAGGGGCGTCAAGGTATGTCTCCCAGTTGAACGTCTGCGCCTGCTGGGGGGCGAGCGGCAGCCACGCCCACGCGGAGACGCCGCGCGGGAGGCGACTCCCCGCGGGCAGCGCAGCGTGGCGTGCAGCGGCCTGGTCAATGCAGGCGACGAAGCGCTCATTAGTGCACGCCGTGTGGTTACCCACGATCCCCCTGCCCATGGCTATGAATTTCCCAGGATGTCCGTTGCCGAGCAGAGACACCGAGACGCGTTTGCAGCGAGACTCGCCAAAGGTCGCGCTTGTGCGAGTTGCCCGTCTCGTCTTGCCACTCGCGATCAAAGTGTTCAAGGTGGACGCGCGGACCGTCGGCGCCCGATCCTTCTCTCCTCCTCCTCCACCTCCTCCTCCGCGGCCGGTAGCGAGAAGGCCGAGGCCGTCCCAGAACGCGTACGCCTCGTCTAGATTGAACGCCCTGCCGCCCCACACATCTGATTGCCTGAACTCGGCAACCCGCCCGTCGCCCTCCGAAAAATCAACGAGGGGAAAGCTGCTGGAGCACCGGTAAAAGAATTCCGTGAAAGTGAGCTTTGGAGACAGATAGTCTTCACGGTCACGGGGGGGCCGTCGTCGAGGAGCGAGTCGACGCGCTCGCCAATGACGTCGTCGTGTCGAAGATCTCCTCGCACACACTGAAAAGCTGGCTCTTCCCCGCCTGTGCGTTCCCTATCTGGAACACTGGTGCAATTAATGGAGTGGGCTTCTGGCTCCACATCTTGACGGCGGCGCCATTTGTAAGAGCCGCCATGGAGCCTCCAACCATCAAGGCGCTCGTGCAATACCCTTGGCACGTTGTGTTAACGATGGGCCCCAAGAACTCGCGCACCTTAGGGGGAGGTGCTCCGCCGGGCTGAACTCACTGGCGACGCGAGCCATCGCCCTCGCAAAGAATTTCTTCACCTGCTTCTGGGACAGACTCTCCGTGTTCTTCCCTGCCATGGCCGCGCACTGCGCGACGGCGCGGTCGCGTCGCGAGTATGACCTGCAAGACTCGCTGCGGCAATCCCACGAAGGGGGGCCTTTGAGCCAGGGCGCTGCGTGCGAGGCTGGCAGATGGAACCTCGCAGCGGGGCAGCGAAGCTGGGGCCTTTGTCTCGCCTTCGAATCGGCATCTTCGCGCGGGTGCAAAAGCAGCGGCCCGACCTCCTCGCGCCCGCCGCGTCAGATCGATGGGCCGTCATGGGCCGTCTGCCACGCTTTTTTTCACGATCGGCCAAATTCCCAAAACCTGCGGGGGGGCGGATAACCCCGCTGCACGCTCCAAAACCGCGCCCGAGGCCCTGGCTATTGCAGGGCGACGGAAAGCACGACGCGCGCAGCGAAACTCCCACGGCCTCCAGAAATCTCCAAGACAGGGCCGCGAAGCTCTGAGGAAGCCCCAGGAGCTTTCGAGTGCATTTTCGCCCCTCGCCCCATCCCTTCCCCCGTCGCACCCCGCGCCCCTCGCCCGACCCATGATCCGAACGTTGGCAGGAAGGAGAGGCCGCGAGAGGCCCCGTGCATCAGAGCTGTCTCGGCTTCTTCTCGGCCGAGGCCGAGGCGGCCTCGCTCGCCCGAGCTACCTTCCTGGCGGCAGTGGCCTGGGCGCCCCTCATGCGCCCCAGCGTCTTCATGTTCAACGCGCCCACCATCTCTTGCACGTAGAACTGGGAGGCCCACCGGCCCACGTGGTGGATCACGTGGCCCAGCGGGGACAACTCGCAGTTCATGATTTCGCTGATGTTTGTGGGGAACTTGCTCAACAAGGCAGTTGGCCTGCAGCCCCGGCAGGCAACGTTCGCTGCACCATTTGCCCACGTGCCCGCTGGAATGGTAATCGTCGACAATGTAAGCCGCCTCGGTTGCCAACCGCGCAGCCACGGCGGCGCCCTCCCCGTTCTTCTCCGCCATGAGGCGCAGGTGGCACGCGTCGTCGTGGACGACAATCTTGAGGTCGGGCATGTGGGCCGCCACTATGGCGAGGAATCGGTACCGCTGGCTGAGGGGCTCAGCGCGCATGAGCTCTTCCACGTGCGCCAGAATGCCAGACGCGGATACGGCCGTCAGGAAGCCCGCTGCGGGGGCGGCTGCAACGATGTGCGCGTCCGTCTCCTTGCGCGTGGAACACTCGGAAGCGGCGCGTGGCCCGTTCGAGCCCCGAGATGTCATGAAGCTCTTTTCTTTGCGCCCTTTCTTGCCGGCCGCGCCCTGCTTTCGAAGCGCCATGCGGCGAGCCCGGCGCGCTTGGATGCGCGCGTCAGCCCCAGTGCCGAAATACGAAGCCAGCGCATCTGGAGAGACAGCGCACGCGGGCTGCCAGCGACGCGCAAAGCCTTTCAGCTGCACCTCCAGGGGGAGCCAATCATCTGGCCCATGCAGGGCTCGGCGCAACCGGTGGTTGCATACAGTCTCGTGCGGCGCCGGCGGGTCAGCCACTAACGCCTTGGCACGCTTGCAGCACATCGCCCCCTTCCCATGCGGACGGTCTGGGCACCCTCGCAAAAGGTATTTGTCCAGCTCGGCGCAGTAGACCACGTGAGAGAAAGGCATGCCGCACGTTCGGCGGTACAACTTGGCGTTGCCATCGATGGCAAGAATGTCTGTGCGGTCTCCAGACAAACGGACCTGCTCCAAACGCCGGCGGAACATCAACGGCCCGTACCAGCGCCAACTCTTCTGCACCAGGGCCTCAACGGAGAGACACAGCAAAACTTTTGCCAACTCGTCAAATTTCTCGGGTGCCCCCTTCTGGCATCGCTTCCACAAAAGCTGCCGCGCCCAAGTGGAACTCAAGTTCGTCCTTGCCCGCGCGAGCACGCCTGGGCCGTGCATCATGCGGAAGATGGTAGCCTCGCCCATGAAGGAGGAACGGTGAACCAACAGGCGGTACCGCCACTTCCGCAGCCACAAAACGGAAACGCCGAAACTCTTTGACAACAGCCAAAAATCCCGATGACTGAAATCAGCATCGAGACGTTTCTTGTGCGCCCTGGCGTCGCCGGGTACAGGCTCTTCTAGGAAACCGCACCAATACCGTGTTCGGCGCCTCACCTCTTTTGTCTGGCCGTTGGCAGTCTGCACCGTCATCACATCGAAACAACGGGAACACCACCGGGTATAACAGCCCAAATGACACAGCACATTGTGAGTGAATCAACGTTGGGTGAAACAGTTGGCTGTCCTTCGTGGCCCCAAACGCAGCACTGGAAAGGCGTTGCGTTTCAAAGCCATGGCCTCCAGTACGCCTGGCCGTCTGTGTGCCACGTCCACTTGAAGCCCTCCTCCGCGGCCCAGCGTTGCCGCAGCTCCAAGCTGCGAAGTTCCGTGCACGCGTGGTTGGAGCAGCACGGACACAGGGGAGGCCCCATGACGGGCCGCCTCGATCCGAAACATATTGTGCGCGGAAGGGGTGGTGGTGATAATGATACTGGTAATGTTTGTCGCCGTGTTCTTGCAATGCATTAATTTGTTATCGATTGGACTGCAATCGATTGGACTGCAATCGAGTTGTTCCCCACATCCTGAGTGGGGGTCTTGTTTTCCCAGAACATCCTCTCCTTCTCCCTCCCGCCTCCCGCCTCCCAGTGCCCCTCCCACCCCTCCAGGGAGGCCCCGCCTGAGCGAGGAGGGTATCGGAAACCCATACTGTTTACATGGTTTCGTGCTCCTCCCACCCCTCCAAGGAGGCCCCGCCTAAGCGAGGAGGGTACCGGAAGCCCATATTATTTACATTGTTTCATGCCCCTCCCATCCCTCCAGGGAGACCCCGCCTGAGCGAGGAGGGTATCGGAAACCCATACTATTTACATGGTTTCGTGCCCTTCCCGCCTCTCCAGGGAGGCCCCGCCTGAGCGAGGAGGGTATCGGAAACCCATACTGTTTACATGGTTTCGAAACCCTCCCATCCCTCCAGGGAGGCCCCGCCTGTTTCGTGCCCCTACCACCTCTCCGGGGCGGCCCCGTCTGAGCGAGGAGGGTATCGGAAACCGACACTATTTACATGGTTTCGTGCCCCTCCCACTGACATGGGTGAGGAGGAAGAGAACATTACCTATCCATCTCACGTCTTACTCCTCCCACTGAGGAGGGTGAGGAGGAGGGGGAGTTCTGCGATGAGGAAGGCTTCATCATGATGATGGTGATGACGATGGTTATACTGCTGTTCACGATGACGATGACGATGGCGATAATGGTGATGGACGATGACGATAACGGTGATTATGATGACGATGATGATGATGACGATGATGATGATGACGATGATGAAAACGATGGCGACGACGACGACGACGATGATGATGATGATGATGGTGATGATGATGATGATGCAGATGCTGGTGATGATGACGATGCCGCTGCTGATGCTGACGTTGCTGGCGCTGTTGATGATGATGACGACGATGATGTTGATGATCGTGACGTCCACGATGATGCGGACGATGATGATGCCAAGGACGGTGATGGTGATGATGATGACGATGCTGATGATGATGGCGATGGTGGCTACGACGATGATGATGATGATGACGATGGCGCTGACGATGATGATGATGCTGATGATGATGAGGATGATGATGATGATGGTTATGATGATGCCGATGATGCTGACGATGATGCTGGTGATGATGATACTGATGATGATGACGATGATGCTGATGATGGCGACGACGATGCTGGTGATGGTGATGGTGATGATGATGATGATGATGATGCCGAGGATGAGGAGGACGAGGAGGAGGAGGACGAGGAGGAGGAGGACGAGGAGGACTCGCTTGAAGGAGGAGGGTCGCGGACAGCATTACTCTTTACCAGGTTTCGTAGGCCTCCCCCCTTCCAGCGGGGCCCCGCCAGAGCGAGGAGGGTATCAAGAACCCGTACTATTTACAAGGCTTCGTTTCCTGAACACCTGTCCTCCCTCCTCCTTTCTTTCGTCTGCCCTCTTCGTGCGTACTTACTCGTTCGATGAGGTTTCTCCTTCGTGTTGATGCTGTCGTACCCCATGGGTCCCACGAAACCGTTTATCTTTATGTGGGGAACTCCGTTTGCATAATTTTACAATTGATTGGACTGCAATCGATTCCACTGGGTTTGCACTTGATTGGCTTGCAATCGATTGGACTGGAACCGCTGGGGGGGCGCACAGGGCAGCGACGAGGAGGCGGCGACGGGACGGTGACGGCGAGCAAGGAACCGCCAGACCGACCCTCAGGCCAAGACGACGGGCGGCGACGACGCAGCAAGGGGGGGCGACGGCAAGGACGGAAAAACCAGACCGCCCCTCAAGCCCAGACGACGGGCAGCGACAGGGCGGCAACGGCGAGGAGAGAGCCGCCAGACCGCCCCTCAGACCCAGCTACTAGGAAAGAAAGAAGGCCCCCTAAATGCAAACACTGTTTGGGAAATGTCATGATGTTCAATGATGTTCATCAGCCGGTGCCTGTGCGGGTGCCAGTGCCGGTGCTGGTGCCGGTGCGGTTGCGGGTGTGCCGGTGCCGGCGCCGGCGACGGCGCCGGCGACGGCGACGGCGCCGCCGGTGCCGGTGCCGGTGCCGGTGCGCCGGTGCCGGTGCCGGTGCCGGTGCCGGTGCCGGTGCCGGTGCCGGTGCCGGTGCCCGGTGCCGGTGCCGGTGCCGGTGCCGGTGCCGGTGCCGGTGCCGGTGCCGGTGCCGGTGCCGGTGCCGGTGCCGGTGCCGGTGCCGGTGCCGGTGCCGGTGCCGGTGCCGGTGCCGGTGCCGGTGCCGGTGCCGGTGCCGGTGGGCGAGAATCGCTCTATAGTGAATTTTGACCCACAGTGGCTTCCAGTTGGTGACTGTAACGCGGGCAGATCTGACTAGGGCAGCAGCGCACTGGACGCGCAACGACAGGGGCCTGAGCTTGCTCCAGTGCCTTCGTGCGAGCAGCTGCTCGAGTGGCAGGGAGAACGGTGGCACCCTAAGTGCCTTGTGGAGAGCCCAAGATTCCCACTTTAAAATCGTCTCAGGAATCGGCGACAGCTGGGCTAGGTATCCGAATTTTGAAACTGCACGGCTGTTGTACATAGCAATCATGATTGACGGCGGGGCAGCGGTCTCAGCGAGGCTACGAATAACTCCCGCCCACCCCCGAATATCCCGAGCCCACACCTCCTCCTTCGCCTCGGGACCGATCCACACGCCTATGTACTCCGCGCATCCCACCGCAGGAATGCCACTCCATCCTGGGGCTATCCTCTCGACGGCAGCCGCGACCTGAGATCTGACCTCCTCATCGAAGGCCCGGTGAACAGAAACCAGCCTACACTTCGGGGTCTTGGGCTTCAATCCAGCTAAAAAGTCAGCAGCATGAAAGCCCCTGAGAGCCGCGCAAGAGCCCGAAGGTCACCTACCAGAGCCCCCACGTCGTCCGCACAAACCCCCACCTCCGACCCAGGGTGTTTCTTCAGCCTCTTGCGCATGTCTCTGATCAGAGGGTCCATTATTAAATCCCAGGGCGATCCCGAGTCTGGGGCGCCCTGCATAATGCCAGAGCTTACGATGCAAAACGTCTGAAGGCAACTTAGCAAGGATACCTTGGCAGCAGCAAACGTGTACGCCTCTTGGGTCAGACTCAGGAAACCTTCGGGGAGGCCGCACTTTGCAAGCGCAGCCCACAATAACTGGTGAAGGAGGGAGGGGAAGGCGTTGCCAAAGTCAAGGAAGAGGAGGGGCGGCATTCTGCTTGAGGCTTCAGGGTGCATCCCCGCAATGCGTGCTTCTGAATCCAGCAGCACCACATTGTCAAGGAAGTTCCTGCCTGGCAGAAAGCCTCTCTGGTCCTTGTGTGCTTGCGCTGCAATCGCCCCCTTAACTCGCTGGTTGCAGGCTGACGAACTAATTTTCACATCAGTATTCTTCAGGGCCAGTGGGCGTGTGTTCTGCGGGGCTCTCATCGCAAAGGCACCATCCCGCTCCTCCCGGCCCTTCGGCGCAAACATAAGCAGGATATCGTTGAGGGGGACAGGAGGGGGGGGGGGGGGGACCAGCAAGCAACTCAAGCATCAGCTCATATAGAATTTCTTGCGATAGCGGAGACTGCTGCCACGCCGCGCACGGGAGGCCATCAGCCCCTGGAGCCGTGGGTTTCGCACAGTGGATCACATAGGCAATCGGCCCCATCGAGGGCGGCGCAACCGCGGGCCAATCGAAAACGTGCACATGCTTGTCCAAATGCTGATCAAGATGTCTCTGCGACGTCGAACGGGGGGCGAAAACAAGAGCCCAGTGGGACCGAAGGGAAGAGACCGTGCCCGACGAGGAAACATGAACCTCCCCGCGAGCAGAGTCGGCCACAGCCTGAAGCGGCAACGTCTTTCCCTTCGGCGCCCACATCTTGGCTCGCCTCCTCTCCGATCTTACGTGCGCCCGAATTCTCTTCTTCTCAGCATATTCAGAGCAGTTTCAGCACGGTTCACGCGGTCGTCCACAAGGTCACGCTGGAGCTGCTCGTACTGCCTCCTAAGGCTCATCGGCCACGCGAGCGAGGCAATATTTTCGTCGGGAATCTCCAGAAACTCAGCCGCAACCGTCGTGGTCGCCAGCAGGGGCCGAGCCACATTCACAAGGTTAAAATGGACAGCCCTCGAGATAGATCGGAAAATGGCCATCTTGGCTTCCAGCGGGGGGGTCCTGGCGCTCACACGCTTATTCCTGGTTAGACGTGCCGCTTCCCTCATGAGGCGTTTGTATTCAGTCGATTTCGCAATCGTCGGGGGCTTCATAAGATCCGAATGCTGAAGAAGGAGGTTGAGATATTGTTTATACTCTGGGGCCTGACATGCGAAGCGCGGCACAGCCTGGTCCTCCTGCGCCTCCTGGGGCCGCGAGCCGAAGGTG